TCTTCCACAGAAACCAATCACTTTATGGATCTGGTAAAGCCTGCTGTTCTGATACTTCTGCCTCAAATGCTATACAGACCTGGGTATGACTGTATATGAGCTGGTCTCTGTCACTTTTCTGTTTTGTCTGGACTTAAGTATAATTTGTTTATTCTTCTAAAATCTCTGATTGTATTAATGGCTAGGTCAGCTATAATAACAGTTTAAGAGCAAAAAGGATATCCAGATCCTTACACAAAGCTACAGCCAGCTTGTTAGCTCATTATATATAAAGGTCTGAAGATATAAAAATTCATAAACATTAGAGGTCTAAAAAGTAATTTAAGATAATACTAATAAACAATAAAAACAATGACTACATGCTGTTTGGGTTACAAGCTCAGGACTTTCTGTGTTTTTACTGGGGCTCAAAGGTATGAGTCTATTTTTATTGTTATATAGATATCTGTTATTTGCTATTTCTATAATATAAAATTTAATATGGGGCCCTTGCAACCTGGGCTTCCATCACCAGTAACCATACCTCAAGAATGAAAGATTATTATTATAGATTTGCAGGATTGCTTTTTTACCATTTCCTTGCATCCTGAAGATAATGAACGTTTTGCCTTTAATGTACCTTCAATAAATTTTAGGCAGCCTTTTAAAAGATATCAATGGGTCACCTTGCCTCAAGGGATGAAGAATTCTCCAACATTGTGTCAAAAATTCGTAGCTCAGGCCCTACAGGAGGTCAGGCAGGAATTTAAGAAAGCCTATATAATGCATTACATGGATGATATCCTTCTGGCTCGTCCGGAACAAAGGACAGTTAAAAAGATTTTAACACAAGCCATTTATAAATTAACCCAGTATGGACTTGTTATTGCCCCTGATAAAGTTCAGCATGACAGACCATTGAGCTACTTAGGACAAACTATAGGCACTGATTATATTAATTCACAAAAATTGTCAATTCAAAAAAATAAATTAAAAACATTAAATGATTTTCAAAGGCTGGTAGGAGATATCAATTAGCTAAGACCTTATTTAAAAATTACCACTGGAACTTTAAGCCCTCTTTATTCTATACTTCATGGGGACGCAAATCCTAAGTCGCCTAGACAATTAACCCAAAAAGCGTTAAAAGCATTACATATTGTTGAGAAAGCCATTGCCTATGCCCGGGTTCACCAAATAAATTATCAAGATAAATGGGGCCTGCTGATGTTTCCAACCGCTTATACTCCCACTGCCTGTTTATGACAGCACAAAATATTAAAATGGTTACATTTACCACATACTCAGGCAAAAATGTTGGCTGATTTTCCTTATTTATGCTTCCTTTTAATTATAAAAGGTGGAATTAGATCTAGAGAACTATTTGGATGAGAGCCACATTTTATAATAACTCCTTATAAGAAGGCTCAAGTAAACTTATTATTACAAAATAATGAAGATTGGATTTTGGCTTTACAAAATTATACAGGTCAGATAGAATATCACTACCCCAAACATCCTCTCATAGAATTTGCTAAGACCGTGGAAATTGTGTTTCCTATCTGGTATTCATCAGAACCCCTAGATCAAGCGATATTAATCTTCACAGATGGTTCTTCCACTGGAAGGGCTGCAGTTTATACATATCATCATGGCTCATACTGGGAAGAAGGAGAGCAGACTTCTGCCCAGCAGACTGAAATAAGAGCAGTAATTTTAGCCTTCATGACATTTCAGCAGCCTTTTAATTTATACACAGATTCTAAATATGTAGTTAATTTGTTTCCAGCATTGGAAACTGCCCTTTTGTCAGGGAAATCACCTATATTACCTTTGTTACAAAGATTACAAATGCTTGTACACCAAAGGAAAGAGAAGTTTTTCATAGGCCACATACGTGGTCATTCAGGTCTTCCAGGCCCTCTAGCACAGGGAAATACTATGGCTGATTTATTAACTCGGTCTCAAGGTGTCTTTTCAATGCAAGAAGCACAAGAGAGTCATGCCTTACATCATCAGAATGCAAAGGCTTTGAAACAAATGTTTCATATTACCAGAGAACAAGCTAGGCAAATAGTAAAGCAATGCCAGCATTGC